GCGTCGAGAACTACTTCTTTTGCATGAGCAGCGTCTACAGCAAGACTCATTCGCCGATATCGAAACTCATACACACGGTCTCATTCCAGTCGCGTGTTTGCACCGTTGAAGAGATGTCCAAATTACGCGACTGCTCGCAGATGAACATCCTGTGACACATCCAGATGAATGATGGCTCGAATGGCTATTTATCTCAGGGCAAAAAACAACGATGCGATGCTGGTTTTATTTTATTGAAGACCGTTGCTTGGCCCTAAGACTGATGCTAGTAACAGTGGCCATTTTCTGTATGCCCGCTACGACGTTCGAACCACGGCTGAATGCCAGTCACTTGCAGCACTGAAAGACGAGCATTTACTTTTATTTTGGAGATGCTGCTAAAATCGACTTAGATAAATCTTGACATAAATAATAACAGTACCCTAAGTAATATATCGACTGACATTGAACAAGTCTTAATTTTCAAGTACAGATGCAGTAGCCTTTTAGAAACCTAAAACGTAAAGTACCCAAAATATCAGAGAGCCAAAACCAGCTGCTAAGCGCGCAATAATGGGAAGCTGTGGTTCACTGTTTGGGTAGCATCAAGAATCGGTGCTTCAAAGTCAGGTGCCCTGAGAGACTATGAAGCGATTAAGCGTTGACTAATGATGCATTCGAAAAGTTCCGCAGCGAATCGTAATCAAACCGTCGTATCAGCCGAAACATAGATGTGGCGTAGATGATTTAGGAGTCTTGTGTTAACGAACGTTAAAAATCCTCGAACTGGCACATAATTCATAATTGAAAAAAATTCTCAGAAAGTGTTCCTGTAGAAATGCTTATGCATTTTATCCAGTGTTCATTTGTGCGTCGCTTCTGTATGTAAGTGATATACATGTATAAATGTAGTTATCTTGTTGTTTATCATCGCCATTCATCTAGACTAATAGTTTCAGATGTGCAGGAGATGATTCATTAAAGGCTTTAAGTAACAACAGCAGCATTTGACTGATCCTTCTTTACAATTAACGGGTCATCATTATCACGTGTCGATGTCCACCTTCGTGCTTTTTGCATGATTTGTCGCCACCAGGTTTCACCTCTCTGTAAGTTCATCGTCCCTTCTGATTCGAAGCTTTCCAATTGGGATCTTGCAGTCTTTCTGATACCAGTTTGTGACCGTTGAAGTCCATGGGTCATCCGTGAATTGTGCTCTGTAATTTGTCGTAACTGGTTCAAGCCCCACACAGTGGACTGAGAACGAACCATTTTTGCCTGTGCCTTCCATTCGATTCAATTTTGGCAAACGGTTTTCGTCATTGTTCACACTTGTCAGGCGTCTTGGACAGAGCATATGATTGTCTTCAACCCGGCCGAAGAGGTTCCGCGTGACGGATCTGTAACGCATAGCGTGCTCGGTTTTACTCAATGAGTTCAGGCGCAGACACTTCTTCTCCTGCAGAACAACAGAAGGCATCGAACGGAGGTGAAAAGAGGTAACTTGTCAATGCCATAGGGACGACTCTCTGACTGTGTTTGTTAGGTAGGCTTCTTCAGCTTCTTTTCTTATTCACCGTCATAGCACAGTTCCTAGACTTACAGTACTTTCGAATGACAACGTAATAATACGGCTTTCTAGTTTCTGATTTGGGGAGATGGGGTAGGTTAGTTTGTATAGAAATCCTAAGTATTCCAGATACTCAGTTTCTTATGCTGCTGTTATTCAAATTGAAAGTTGATTTATTTGTAAGACACCGTGGGAGGACGACAAAGTTGATGTTCAGGCCTCGTTAGAAGCACGTGTACTGAGATATCAATAAATGATTTTGTTTGTTCATCATTAATTAAGTCACCCATACACAGCGACCGATGAATGTGCAGACAGGACATTTTTTTGAAGCAAATTTATCGCCGTCACCATCGGTAAATCCGACAATACTTTGAGGATCACGAGGGAAGAACATTGCAGCAAAATCATTCTGCAAACCCGCTTTCATTGTGAAGCGTTGCTCTATCCGCAGTGCCAAATACTCAAATACTACTGAGCTATAACCTGCCTAAATAACCCCCCCTCCCTTCCCCGCAGGCAACTACGAGATTGAGACAATGTAATGCACCGTGAAACCTGGTCTTGGGAATCATTCACTGTTTCATGCAAGACTGCGGCTTACAATAGGGATTGACGACAGATGATGTAAAACTGTACTGAATGGAAACGGCGTGGCTGCGATTTCAGTTGGTGGGTATGTTTTTAGACAGGCATAGTTGAGGTTAGTTGAGGTACACACTCAATCACATCAAGACGAAACAGTGTTTGATTAAATATTGGCAGTTGAGACGACCCTTCACATCGCCGACGGTTTTTTGGTACGGTTCCTCCACGACGACTTTCCTAACTGTGTAATGTACGATTGATCCATCTGCTTGCGGTAGAACTCTGCTATTTTCACTGCATAGCAAGCGGGTGCAGCTATGCCTCATTGGCCATGCAAATGCACGGATCTCGAACGGATCACGCAGTAAAATTCAAACGCATAGAACTGTTTTACATAATGACCCTTAGTCGCCTAAACGTCCTAAAAAAAACATGTCGAGGGATGGTCTCGTGTACATAAGTTGACTGCGATATTGAATTAAATATAGCGTATACTTCGCTGGCAACTATGACTATGCTCTGAGCATGCCCTGAGCACTTAGTGAAGTTCGTGACTCGGATCAAATTTTATTTTGCATAAATGATCACAACAGTGAAGATGAGAAATACTTGTGCACTGTACTTACTCAGAGTTTATTTAGAATAATCCATAACTCGCCTTCGCTTTCTCGTTCCAATATTTTCTGAGAGCGTATATGTTTCGCCTAAGTTTCTCGTACGATCCGTAATCAGGTACGGTGACCAGCATATGAGGAAAGACGAAAGATCAGAATCGCAAGAGGCGAGTAAAAGGTGCTGCCATTGCAATTTACCTGGTTCTCATTTTTCATCGACATCAGTAAACGACTGGCTGCAAAAGCGTCGGGTCTAAACGATACATCGCTGGACGAGGCCTCCTACAGACAAGCCGATCAGCTGCGTGCTGAAGATATAATGGACCGTACAACTCGTGATCAACTGTGTATGTTCATAAGTGTGACATGGACAAGAAGGCCATTGCTGAGTAAGTACTGCGAAAGTCACCATGGCAAGAGACAAATAGCAGTAGAATTGGGATACTCGTTGCAGAAAACGCTCAATTCATGAACCGAAGAGTACGAATACAAAAGACGGGCAAAGATTTGCATCGAAGCCACTGCAACATTTGTTCAATGTTCACAATCCGCAGAAATTATATTGAACCGTCGCCTGGAAGGGTTTACCATGTGATCAAGACAGCAAGGGATCATCATGCAAAGTACTGTCGTCAGGCTGAACGTAACTGTCTCACACTCGTTTCATTTGATCACGTTTGCCGAGTCGACCGCAATCACGTGACGTTGAACGAAGACAGCCAGGTTTAATCTGAACATGATCTCGTGACGTCGTCGAGACAGTACGCTACAGAACCGCCCGCCTACGCGGCGACCATCCACCTCCACCTTCAGACATTCAGATTTCCGTCATGGCGAGATAGACTATGGCAGCTTGTGTCTGTCTGTCCGGGAGGCAAATCGACCACTGAAGGGGTTGAAGAGTTTGTCCTTGATCAAAGCCACGTATGTTTGTACTGTATTCTTGTGTATAGTTTTGTTTCACTTGTCCACTCCTCTTTAACGTCAAAGTGAGGGAATCGGTTTATTACTTAAACGACACCATTAACTTCATGTAAACAGATGGTCCAGAATAGCACGAGTATGAAAGAGTAAAGGAAATCGACCTTTCAAGGGTAAGAAACTTTTATTTTTCCTTTTTATTGTAAAGAGAACTCATTAAATTTGCTCTCGTTGCCACTATCCGACTGAAGGATATCTAGCGCAAAGAAGCACACAGAACCTGAGTGCACTGTTTATTTTCCATTAACCATGTAATCTATGCTACACTGCGTAAAAGTTTCTAGTGAATAAAAGATTTGTGGCCATAGAGGACATAAAAGCGAAATACATAAACGAAATGGTTGTCCCAAATGCAACCACATTCGCATTGATCTGTGTTCGTTATTCATCAGTAAGACACGAGCGAACTCGACGACTCAAACCTCATGTCCGTTGGGCTCAAGACTGGTTAATCTAGCAGAGGAACTAAGGTATTTATTGCACATATTTACCTCTGATACGCCTGCGGTTCCTCTGAGTCACTTTGTAGACAAATAGTTTTGTTGCTAGCATTCCTTGCTGTTATTTCCGCAATGTTGGTGTGCCAAACGGCGTTCAAGAGACGAGCAGCAACGTGAAACAAATCGGTCAGATCCACTCTCCCCTCCCCAACTAACTGCGGACCACAAGAGGAAGATGACTGAGGGGAACACATCTCCATCAAAAAGCTGAAGCTAGAAACTGACTAAGCTTAACAACATTTTAGGAAGAATATGTTATGAACAATTCCTCCAATTTGTGGATCAAACAAATAGGTTGTGTTAGCCGTTTTAGAGTTGCCATGCAGCATGTGTCAATACAATGTATGGAGACCATGAGCATTTGCATGAGATTTCGCTTATGACACTCACTGTTAATCGACTGCTACTCTGTCACAGTCAGTCATGTTGTGAAAACGTGTGTTACTGCAGTCTGTCTGTCAGTGAACCACAGGCGTTTCAGTACGTAGTCGTGGGGGGCCGATTCAACGCTGCCTGCATGCAAATAAAAATGTTGATAAAGAAATTCTTTTACATATTCTAACATATTCTAACACTGAAACAGTAAACATGACAGTAGCATAAGGTACTCTCATGTACAAAGGTACTCATAAGATACTCTCATAAGGTATTCTCATGTACAAAAAAAGTAGAAAGTAGTTCAATAGAAGTATTAAAGAAAAATTGTTAAATTGTACAGTAATTAACAGCAATAAATCAAAAACCATTCTAGCTAAAAAATTAATAGGAATATGAAACTTACGTGGTCATTGGAGGCACGGTAGAAAAATAGACTTTATGGCATTCAGATATGGCAGAATGAGTTGAATGAACTGTGCGGAAGAAGTGAAAAGTTTGATGCTTGTCGTACATGTTTGTCATTGCTGAGGTAACATTATCAGTACGCATAACTTTCTGCAAAGAAGGTTTCATTTACAAGGGAGTTGACCATTCTTGTTGAAGCATATCTCGGTGATTGATGCTTTCAGCTGAAATGAAGAAAGAATTTTAGGTGACATATTATGTTGATTATTACACTGGACAATTTCTGTTTGCTATTTCGGTTCGATAACAGTGTCGAGGCAAGGTTAGATGCCGCCGAATGTGTGTATAGGTTGCGGATAGAGAGGCAGCTCCTAGATATGAGAGTCAGCTGTGAAATAAGCTTAGAAGTTAGCGAATATGTGACAAGGGTGCAACGAGTCAAGGTTGGCTGTAGAAAATACCGCAAGACCAGATGACAGCTAGGTGACATGGTGAGTACATGTCACCATTAAATAAACGTACTGATGACCCCAACGAGTCATAGCCAGTTGAGAAAGACTGGTTGGCATCAGGCTGGCAACCGGCCTTAAAGCCAATGCCAATGCCAAATATGATGAGTCAAGTTTCCTCTCGAAAGAATGCTAAGGAGTCTTTCCGACAGGAGACATCCAGCGGATAATCCTGGGGCTGAGAGAAATGAGCGGCGGAACCAGTTCTTGAGACGACGGCAATTGCAAAGGAGAGATTGACATTCCGAAAACGATGCTGGAAGATGTGAATTACCACTTGGAACATTGGAACGATGACGGAAAATGGCATGGAGCTAGCAGAAGCTCTTTAGAGAAGAAAATTTCAGATCGCTGAAAAGGTGAGAAGTCGAAAGTGGTTGGACTAGGCTAGAGACTCAACCAAAAAATAAATGACCGCCACCTTTCATTGAAGTGGTATTGAATGAAACGATCAAAGACTGGCTATTCGAAGTCAGCCAAATTAATGACAAAGTCATGAGCGTTAAGCTATCTCTGGAAAGTGGTAATATTAACAAGTGCCTATGTCCCCTCAAACTGATCGGACTGAAGCCAAAAAATCTACATTCTAAGAGATGCTAGACATTGCACTGCAAAATATACGGGGAAACGAAAAAAATGGTGGCAGTCAGAGGTCAAAGAGGTTAGGACAGGATCCAAGGCAAACATGAAAATGCTATGTTAAATAAAGGAGAAAATATCTTGCAGGTGACAGTTGCATGTGGTCTGGCTCTGATAAACAAGTTCTTCGAGAAAAGAGAAGACCAACTGCTAATTTATAAGAGAGGGCAAAAGAAAAGTCAGATCGATTACTTCCTACTCCAAAGGGAAGAACTTAAAACCTCAGAGATTGCAAGGTTATTCATTGGGAAACTGCTACAAGCCAGAGCCGGTTATTCGTGATAGTCCTCTCTCTGAAACAGACCATTGAAATGGCGGCTCCGGCGACAATCTCGAAGATACAGCTTTGGAAACTCAAAGGGAAGTTTAAAAAACCATTCAAAATGGAACTTATGAGAAAAATGACGAAGGAAGACTTCAACAGGAAAGTGGATGAAGTTTGGCAGCGGATGACGAGCATAATCAGAGGGAGTGCCAGAGGTCTAGTCGGACAAACAAAAGGCACAACACATAAGGAAAGAAACGGGTGGTGGAATGCGGACGTTCAGGGGACCGTACGACAGAAGAAAGAGTTGCTTAAAAAAGTCACAAGTGTCAAACAGCGCAGAACACAGAGTTAAATATGCCATATCAAAGAGGGATGCAAAAAAAGTCGTCACCAGAGCAAAGTCTACGGTTTGCAATAACTTATGCAAAAACGTAGCAAAGAAAGAAGGGGAGAAAAACAGCTATCACGTAGCAAAAGGGGTAGAAACTAGAACGAGGGATGTCGGTAATATGAAGTACATCAAAGACGAAAACGTAGTGGTTGTGACAGACGAGTAAAATATTTGCAACTGATGGTAGAGACACTTCGAAACGCTAATAAACGAGATACATCCTATGGAGGCCATGGAAAAGATCCCATTAAATCAGGATCTAGTCGAAAAGATCCAGAGCTCAAAACAAAGTTTTAGACACCGCCACACCTCTGGTTATCGCCTTGCCCTTTCACACAGTAATCGTTTGCTTTTCATGGTGAACACGCTGCTCCTACTCCGGCATCTTATGAAACATTATTTCGTTTTCAGCAATGAGTTTCTAGGAGTCGCTCTCTGCCTCAATTCCGGAAGTTCTCAGGTATGTTCATTTAAATTGGCTTTACTCACATATTTGCTGTCTGAAAGTTGGTTGGACACTGTTTGCATCACGTGGCTGCGGCTTTTCGAATGCAAAGGTGCCACTTTCATTCATGAAAAAGCAAGAATTGGAAACAGGTGAGTCCAACCAACTTCCTGACGTGAAACAGACGGGGTGATGACTGTAAGAGGGGCATAAAACGAAACTATAATATTAGCACATCGACAGCAAGTGCGGAAGTAATGACCTTAGCGAATACTACGGGCTTTTTTGACACTAGTTACCCACTAGTTTGTCATTGGTGCTGCATTTCAAGGGCGGCACCTTCGAGTTGGAGTTTATCACTGCTGATTTAAGCTCTGTAATACGAATAGGGCGTGGTCAACAGTTTCAGCACAGTTGTTTGGTTCTTGAATGCCGGAGTGCCAACCACGTTTGAGAAACATGCAACTGCGTGATGCGAGTTTGTCCGACCACCTGAGTTTTGTACAGTTTTATTTCATCTGTAGATTTGCATTTTAGGCCGGGCCCATGTCGTATTTCCATTGTAAATTGTCTATGACAATTTTCTGTGGGTTGCGAGCAAACCAGCCAAAGAGAGTGGTTCATAGAAAAAAACGCAATCAAATTATTTACAGTGCTTATATTGTTTCTCAATCCATTATGCCGAGGTTTGCTCATTACACAAAACAGCAGTAAAACGATATAGTGCTCTTCAGTAAATGGTGACAGAGAGCATATATGAATAGTGAGAGGGTGCCGGAAAGGCAAGAACGACTTTTATTTAAGCAACAGAATCCGCATACATCATACGGACAATTTGTTGACCAGTTCCTGACGACGAAGGACACTTATGCAAAGTAAGATAAATCAGTAGTCGTTAGAATGACGGTCTTCCTGACACTTTCATGGTGAGCAAACCTTTGTCTTCTTTTCACAAGATTGATGGCAAAAGTGGTGAACACCATGCCCATAACATAAGCGAGGAGTGCTTAATTTTGAAAGCTGAGACAACGCATTTTTGCAGCAACATGACATGTGTTTTTCTGCTTCCCACAGAGTGGCATTCGTTGATCATGCTTGGCAAATAGAGACGAGAGTGACCAAACCGGTGCTGGTACAAAGGACCTCTTGGTTCTCAGTTAGACGCTGCATCGACTGAGCAACCCGGGTCGGAAGCAATGTGTGGCAAATTTCTGGTTCAAAGAAATTACTCGTTAAGACAAAGGTGCACTCCGCTAAAATCGAACCACCTGGCCTTAGCACCTTCCGAGATCGAAACCGACCTCGTGTGGGTTAGGACACCATGTCACTAGGTGAATCACTCAAACCCCCTTGTGGCCCGGGCCCGTTTAC